TTCTTTAAGAAGCAGACATCACAGAATCAATTGTTACTTCATTCCCTGGCATAACACAAGATCTGGAGCACCCAGAACAAAGCCTTTTGTTGTTATTTACATTCCCTTCTTTCTCTCTAGGCAGCTTCCCGAGCCGGGTGCATGATGCCAACAGAAGGGTCCAGTGCCACAGGACAGGCAGTCTGTAGTACTCGATGCTGTTGTGTGAGGACAGGGATTTAGCATGGAGGGCACCGCCGTGGGCATTTTCTGTGTAACCATTTTGTGTGACACACCCATCGAGTACCTGCCCTGGCAGGCCAGGCGGCTGAGCCCGGGGGCGGTGTTTTCTTTCCTGAGCTCCGAGTTCCGTGCCCGGGGCCTAGCGTTGCCGCGGCCGGCGGTGTCTGCCCGGGCCCGGCCTGACACCCACAGCCCCGCCGGGCTGGGCCGGGCCCGGCCTGCGCTGCCCGGGCTCTTCGGACCTATGCGGCCAAAACGTGCAGTGTGAAAGTTCATATGGCTCACATCTCACACTTACACAGCCCCTTCTGTTTCTGCGTGGTGAGGATGCCCTGCCATGCCATTCTGCCTAGGGACTGCTGAAGGGAGGGCATGTAAGGGCTGGGAGGACAGAGGCAGCTGGGAGCCCATACCAAGGGTGGGCACCGTAGCCATGGCGGTTCTGCCCACACAGCCCCGAGGGCTCTCCCAGAGCGCTGCCATGGCACCTGCCCCTCTCCTTCCTCTGGGCCTGTTCAGCAGGCTGAACACCGCAATGGCTGAGGTGCTGAGGGACCTGCAGTGGCCAGGAGAGATGAGCTTTCAGCATCAGCCATGGGGCAGCTGGCCAGGAGCGGTCACAGCTGGTTTTAGCCCAGCAAAAAGGGAAGACCAAGCCCCTGGGTGCCACTGCTGCAGGCAGTCAGAGGGGGGGGAGTGCTGCTCCTCGGATGTATTTTACAAAGGAACCAGCACACACAGGGCTGCTGGACACCCACCTGGGGACAGAAGGGATCTGTGCGCTCCTGAGGAACCCACACCAGGGCAGGAATTCCTGGAGTGGCTGCAGGCAGTGCATGCTGGAGCAGGGACAGCCCTGGAGAAAGAGCAGCAGGAAGGCCTGCTACATAAATCACCTCGCCTGCCCGTGCTGCCCAAGGGCTTGCCAGAGGCATTCTGACAAATCGAGCACAACACATGGTGCAAATAAGGGTGAGTCTGGAGAGGAGGTAGGACAGGTGTTTATACAGTGTTTGATTGTTGAAATTGCAGTTGCACAGGAAGTTGTAGCACAGCTGGCATTCAGCACATCTCATAGCAGGCATGCTGAGCTAAATGGCTTAGGACCCTTTTGCAATGCTCTGTGCTGAACCAAGTCCACGACCAGGCTCTTGGCAAGCTTGCTGGCTTGTACATAAAGGCTAAAACGTCTTCTGTGGAGGCTGCAGGTCTCCTTGCTCCTCTACACACATCACTACGGATCCATCCACTGGCTGCTACGTGATCCCTGCCTCACTGGCTGCAGATGGGAGGGGGAATCCATTAGAGGAAATGGTTCAGAGCACAGCTAAGAGGTTTTGCCTTCTCATCAGTCAACTCTCATCTTGTCTCCCTCCTTGGCGAAGTTTTTTCTCTCCTTGTTCAGTTGCAGCAGCAGTGGGCACCGAGGATTGGTTGCCACACACTTTTCCAGGCAATGCATGGAAGTAGCAATTGCCTGGACAGATATTGAGCTTGGGCGCTTTTATGTCCTTTTCAGTGTATCTCAGACATTTGCTTCTTCTGCTCCACTTTCTCCCAAGATGTCCACACCCATCTTGTCCCTCAGAAGCCTGGTGCAGTAGTCTCCCACACCAGCCACTCTGGATGGCATCAAGACAAGAGAGGGGGACACTCTTAGGTCAGCTGAGTTCCAGCCCCAGCAGCCAAACATTCTCGTTACATGGCTGAGAAACCACCCTCTCTGCCTCAGCAGTGCTTCAAACCAGCTGTGAGAGAGTTTGATGGAAGAACTGAGAGGCTTTCTTTCCTCTCAGTCCTTTTCAAAGTTTAGAAATAGATATTTAGGACTGTTAACAGAACACTTATAAGTGTTATATGTGTATACGTATAATCTTATATGACTTATAAGATTGTACTATTCAGTTTAATTTTAATTGGAGAAAGCTATAAGACCATTACAATTTTTTAATACTCCTTATTATTAATTCTCTGAAGAGAATCCTTTTGCACTGTTTTCTTCAACTCTAGACTTAGGTGGAAGGATTAATGCACAGACTACAAAGGTATGTTTGTATATATGCCATTAGACATTTTATTACTGGATCTCTTCTGATTGTTGCTAACTAAGGAAAAACAAACAAAAAAAACCCTCACAAAACCAAAAACCAAAACAAAAAATCAATTCTCAATGAAATCAGCTTTGTTTCTGGGCTGCAAAACTGATGAAAGAGGAAAATCAGACCATAACTTAATATCAGTTTAGTATGTCCAGCCATGTACAGGAAATTAACGTGAGCTGGTATCTACAGCAGTAAAGATCCAGGTAACATCCCACAAGGGCCAGAACTACTTAATAATGAAAGAATTAATTTGTTAAAAAAACCCCAAACAAAGCAACCACTGTTGTTCTGTGTTAATATGTGAGCATATTCTGAAACTAATATTCACACAAATGCAACTGTTCAATTGATGCAACTCAGTAATTTTTATTGCAACTGGAAGACAATACATCACAGAAACTTTATGGTAGGTTTTGGGAAAGTGTTATTTACAATAATAATTGATGAAATAGTTTGTCTTTGGCAATATGATTACACATCAAGAAAATGTAAAATGCAAGTATGCCTCTAAATCAACAATTTCATATTTCCTAAAGATCAGCTGATTGCACTTGCCTTCGGACTGCTCATTTAGGTAAACACAAATACAACTTAACATCACTGTTCATTCCCCGTCACAGTTCATATTTTAATATTGATGAAATTGGCAGTTTCAGACGCCAAGTACAGGAAAAAATAATTGGCTTATCACTGTACTAAATTAACTTATTGGCCAGTTAAGGTCCTGTGACCCTTAAGCATTGATACTAAATCTCTTGGTCTTTTGATTGCTTTATCACTTTTTCTGTAAAACAAAATACTTCAGAAATTACAGATCAGAGTATAAAAAAATGTACAAGTTCATAATGCTTTTCATACACACACAAATCATTCCCCCCAACATTTTACATCATGGCAGTTTTAAGTAGTGAGTGTGAATGATGCAGGCATGGAACTGGTTATCAGATAACAGGTATGACTTTCAATTGCTGTCCCACACACATACTCAGGAAATGTACAATGCTCTAGTAACTTAAAAATGTACTCAAGTTCAATGTCATCCAAACAAAAAAAGGTCTTGGGATTTCAGGCCAGAGTAAACAAATGAAAAAGATTCCCATTTTAGATTGTCAGCCATTCCAGAGTCCAGCATGTAGTTTTAGTATTCGGTGAAATCCCTTCTAGCACTAAAGGCCAGCACAAGTTGTCATTTATCCCTTAAACCCTCGGATGATGAGCTCCTGTAACTGCTGGCCTGATCCAAAGCCTCACGAAATCCACTGAAAATAAAAAAGTGAAACAAAAAAACCCCTCCCACTGATTGTGAAAGGATGTTGCATCAGGCTGATATTCCCCTCTTTGCAAAAGGAAATGTGATACAGTAGAAAAATCATTATATAGTTTCAGATAAATATATCTTGTTTTCAATGCTAAAACAAAACCCAAACTTCCCAAACCAGGAAAGGCTACTTATTAGAACAACTCAAAAGTGACCTTTAAATCATTTCTGGTTTAAATGTATACCAGCAAAATACAGCACCATAGACACATTAGGTTGAAACTGTTTTTTGGTCAGTGAAGCTAGTACTTGTTTGCTGAACTGTGGAAGAATTATAAGGTCATGTACATGATCAGAGATAAAGCAACCCAGCTGACAAGTCTCTGCTTAATTCAAGAATAACCAGTACTAAAAATAAAAATGCAAAAATAAAAATCCCTAATAAACCACCATCAATTAATACTTTCTAAAGAAAAGGGGATTAACAGATGAATTTACAAATGTATGCAGATTTATACAGAACACTGAATGTTGTGTGTAAATCCTTATAAACTTCATCTCGAAACAGAAACACACAAAATGTATAGTTTGACTTACACATCCCATTTCAAAGGAAAAGAGACATCATTACAACTTGGTAACTGTGCTAATTGCAATATAAATCAAACAGAAATTCAGAGTTTGGCAGGTAACTAAGAGGGTTATCACTTAGGTTATATAGCAAAGTGTTGATGTATATTACATAGAGTAGTATAAATAATAAAAAAGTATTATTTAAATTAGATCACAGTGCTGCATTATGTGCATAACAGTGTTTGATATATTACTGGAGGGCTGTGAAGAACACTACTAAAACTTAACTGGTCAGACGGTCAACACTGATACTCTGTTACAATCAGGAGGATGTATGGTTCAAATGCTCTTTTGGTGGCAAAGTTAAGAAAATGTTTCAAAGTATTTCCTATAAAATATGCCAATGAGCTACTCAGGCAGTAGTGATGTGCCTGAAGGAGCTGGGTTTGCATTCTCCAGGAAGTGAAGTAAATTGCATTGGAAATGCATTTTCTCAGTAGTTTTATTCTGATCCTGGAGCACAGGAGAGTAATGTTTCAAAAAATGCCTAGGGCTGGATTAAAGCAAAAATTGTAGTAACAATAATAGTGAAATGGTAAAGGCTTCCAGGAGCACTTGGGTGTCTATAGCTCCACTAACTGCAAAGGAGACCAGACACCTTCAAGTTCTAGAAGACCTCACATTGTGCACTCTCAGATCCACAGTGTGATTCTTGGTGTGTCCTGTGCAGGGCCGAGAAGGAAGGATGGGTCCCTTCCAACTCAACATATTTTATGATTCTATGATCTACATCTTTAGATGGATTGGGATGGGAGCCAAAATCTCATCGTGATTTATCGTGAAAATAAATTACCACTACTAAGAAACCAGGACAAAGTGTTGTTTTGGTAATTTTATCCGTGGTGCCGTTTGGTGTACAATTTAGAACTTCATTGTCTGGTAAAGTATGTTGATGTATCTCTACCTCACTCCAGTGAAGAATGCAGCCTCCAGCTTTTTTCTGTATCTTTTCCACAAGTAGACAGTAATTCAGCTCAACACTGGGAGCCAATGCATCTCCTTTGGGATTCCCTTCTCCCGTTAAGGTAGGAGAGGAACCAGAAGATGAACCTCAGTTGCTGGAGAGAAGAGTCTCAGGACAGTTCTCCAGTCCTACAGGGCTCACCTCACTCCCACATTTGGCTCTTCAGCTGTAAAGCCCTGTGATCTCTGTAGAACTACTGCCAATTTTGCCAGGAGAAGATCAGAAGCAGACTGCTTTCAGAAACAGCTATGGGGTGATACATTTAAGCTGTTCAAGACCTGTGCTTGCATTTTCAAATGCAAGCAGAATCTGCACCAAAATGCAGTAGGACATCCAACTGCTTGCAGAATGCAAGCACGATCAGCAGATTTCACCTCCCTGGAGATGCTGGTGAAATCTGCTTATGGCATTAGCTCTGGCCTGCAAGAGCTTCTTGCTGCAGAAGGCATATTCCAAAGGAACTCGCCATGAAGTCCAGCAACCCTTACAATTCATGCCCATGTGAAACTCACCACTGAACACCTGCTGACCTCGCCCCCACCTGTCTTGGAGAAACGCTGATTTGGCAATACTCAGAGTGAGAAGAAGGGGAAGTTAGAGATTTGACAACTTCTCACCCCAAAATGGCTTAGAAGGAAAGCAAACAAGCAAAACCATACCACCTCCTATCTGGCAAGTGAGAGAGTTTGTAATACAGTGCAATTACCAGTCCGTTTTGACATCATTCAGTTGAAGTAAAGACAATTCGATTAAAAGCTGACATCGTATTTCTTGGAAAACAAATCAATTTCAGTTCTTACACAAAAAAAGAGAACTTCTCTGATGGAGTAGAACCAGTTCTGACAAAGTTGCCATTGTCAGCCAGGCACAAATATGGTTTAAAAGGTGACTCCTAAATACTTTATACAATCCAAATTATGTACTTCTCATCAACAGTCAGAATAAGCATCAATAAGGACAAGTTGTTTTTAAACACCAGAAATAATCCATTGATGGCAGCCCAAACATAACTTTGTAAAATCCTACCAAAGAATACCTTCCAGGCAGATCAGACTAGGAGAAACAAATTTTATATGAAAATAGATGCTTGCCAACATTTTAGGTTTACCAGGAAGTATATAGAGATCTTGTTGAAGTCTTAGATAGGTGTTATACATATGTATCTATATATATATCTGTATAAAGTTAACCTGCCTAATTAGATATTTATGCAAAATGACTGTTTTCTAAGATGAGTAATACTAGTGGTAATTATATATTTAGCCACCAAGAGTCCACATTAATGAATGGTACTTGTTTTTCAGCAGATACTGATCTCATTTGCACTGACACACTGCAATCAGAGAAGTTGCTCTGGAATTAGTGTTGTGGACAGAATCTGGCCACTGGCACACAAGCACGTAGCTTTCCCTGGAGGACAGAGATGGCTGAGCCATGGTTTGTATTTTCTGCCACTAGATTTTTCAGTGCTGTTTTTGGTAAATATTAAGCCACTCCCAAGCTGATACAACTATGCATCAATGAGCAAAGGTGGTGGCAAAGTGATACTGTAGTATCTTTTATTTCAAATGACTCTCCCAAAAGTCTGTAAAAGATGAAGACCAAGTTCTCTTGTACAGGGTTGTGTGCTTCATCACCTGCAGACTTTGGCTGTAGAGAGCATGGGCCTGGGAAGAAGCAGATTATCCCAGTCTGATCAGACAAGGGAAATGTTATGGCTCATTCATCTCTGTGCTACCTGGCCAAGGGACTGGTCCTTCCTGTTTTCCCCAACGTTATCTAAAGGGCTGCAGGCAGCCAACAGAAGTTAGTCTCTCTGTACTCCTGACTTAACTAATGCTGGAATCAATGCTGTACGCATTGGCCCCTGCAAAGTGAGAGGAACAAGGCTGTTTCTTGCACTATCCATGGCTCTCTCCTTCCTTATCTCCTAAGCTGGCAGTTGTGCTGAGCTCTGGCAGCTCTCAAGCTGCTCCTTGATCCCAGGACATGCTGGCTGAGATGGGAGGAGAGGCACACTTTTGCTGTGCTGCCCTGTTCTTTACAAAATGCTTGTGGGATACAGAACCAGGTCCAGACCAGCCTGTCCTTCAGTCCTTCCACCTCCTAACTGAGCACACACCACAGGCATCTCCAAATACAACTTTTAGCTCACTGCACTGAATAGGAAGTCAAACCCTTCTCTAACTCACTCTTCATAAACTACATCCATCTTGGTTAAACTGCTGCCTGAAACAGCTGTTAGTGATAAATCTAAACCTATACTCTTTAAGAAACCAACCATTTTGTTCTCTTAAGTGGTTGGTTTCTGGGATTTTCTTTTTGCCTCTAGGATATTCTAAGTGTAGAATTTTTCATGCCAAATGCAAGAATCCAGGTGAGAGAGACTGTTTAGTTTATTTCACAGCTTCTCTGTGCTGTAGTGATTTTCAGTCTCATAGCCATCCTTACCAGAGTAGCACTGTACCTGAATCACACTCTCTGTAACACTGGTTTTTATTCAGACACCTCCATAAGGCTCTTAACTAACTTCAATTTTTCATGGCAAATTAGCAAAGCTATTTTCTTGTCTACTTATTCCTGAATCAAATCAGAGAGTTTTCCTCAATTAACCTCCCATTATTTTCTTGATTCTGTCATACACACTCACTACTAAATTTGCCCTCAGATTATTGCGTCATGTTACACATGTACAGACGAAGAAAAGACACACTTTTACTTTTTTCTTTTTTTTTTCTTTTTTTTAACAGAAGTAGGGAGAGGGGGCTGAATGTGCAGACAAGGCAGTATAATTCAACCATCCAAGCCCTACCAGAGCATGAAGATTTTATTTTTTAATATTGCAGAGTAAGTTCCCCAACAGTCAGTGTTTGTCCCTGAAGAAGGTTAAACCTTAAACACCTGCTTCAAAAAAACCCCAACGACAACAAAAAAGAACCAAAACAAAAACAAAACAAAACAAAAAAATAAAACCCCCAAAAAACAAACTCTAAGCCTAAGGGCTTAAAAATTAGAGGCATAGCCTTTTTCTCTATTTTCTATATTTATATGAAAATAATTCATGCTTCATGCTAAATACATTATTTACCTTACAAGAACTTTGTCATCTTTGAATAAAAAAAATTGTTTGCTTTTTGTTTTCCCCCTTTCCCTAAAGAATCCATGCAATGTGGATCAAATTTCTTCTGCTGGCTATGCTGGTTGAATCTGGAAATTTGTTGTCATTTTTGCACAGATGAATCCTGACTGATGGTCACTGCACACTCACTTCTGAGGGCAGTGTAGGAGCTCTTTTGTTGAATTTCTGAATTTTACTGTTCACCAATATGCTTTCCTTCTAGTTTTAAATACAGAATACTACTAATGGCAGGTTTTGTAGCTTTGTTTCCCCTGTTAGATCAAGGATGTGATCCACAGAAAAAGATTCTGATGTACATTGTATCTACTGTAATTTCTTAGACTTGATTACTTTCCACTCAGGCAGTTTAGAAGACATAGTTTGTTTTTCCCTATTACTATTATTTTTTGCACGCAGTGCCAATCTTCAGGCTTATGGCTTTTTGAACATTCTTTCAATTTAATATAGAAGACAGAATTCAATGGTTAACGATGCTACTAACAGTCACACCCCTCCCATTTAATTATTTCACTGAAACCCATTGCATACATAATTTAAATTTCCTCTAACTTAGAGCTATCAGTCTTCACACTATGAGCCACACAGGATACGTGACACACTAGAAGTGCATTGCTGCTTGCACAGTTGCCACCAGTGGCTGTCCGAAGACTTGTGTGGCACATCTCCAAGTGCCACTAAACAGTTCTTCCTTGAGAAGTACGTGCCTCCTCTTTCCCACAAATCTCTTTATTCACATTCACTTCTAACCCAATTGTAAGGCCATTAAAAAAAATCTTAAGGGCCAGGCCTGAATGAATACTAAATTATGCACAGCTCTTCTACTCTAAGAGGGATTTCCAAGTGCCCAATTTTACTCCCATCACATTAATGTTGATATCACTGAGTATTCAACCATGCATTTTTGACAAGCTGGAGAAAGCAATGGCGATTTTGGCTTTCTTTTTTTGTTAACTTTTTGTCTTCAGGTAATGAAAAGCTTTTGTAAATTAGCTGAGTGTCAGTATGAGTTCTATGGCTTCAATCTCCTTTAAAAATAAAAATCTTAAGGGTCAAAAAAAAAAAAACCAAACAAAAAACCCAAATAAACAAAACAAAAAGAAATAGAAGAAAAACAAAAAAGGAAAAAATTGCTGATATTGCCACAAATCATTAGAATTCACCTGACGTGCTGAAACAAAACTTTGTAAGTTCAAACAAATCATTGATTTGTTCTAATTTTTTGTGGTTTCCTTTTGCTCTTTCTGCCCCTTTGCCGTCCGATTGGTGATGTTGTTCAAACAGGATCGAATTCCTGCTAAATGCAGGAGTGATCCTGCTGCTTCTTTCATCTCCTCATCGTCACTCTCAGGGGGCTTTTCTGTACGTCTCTTTTTAAGAGGCAGTGTGTCACTTGGTACTTTTTTCGCCTTCATTAAGTGTTGCCTTTTCTTGTGCTGGGATGCATATCCACTGTCAGCTAAAGAATCCTTGGTCTCCTTCCGACTTTGCTTTTTGTCCTCCTCTTCTGTTTCGCTATGGCTCTCGTGGCTCTGGAAGCTCACCTCACTTCCTTCACTGCTGTCTTGGCTACCTTTAGTTGCAAATTCATACTGGTCATCAGCAGAGGAAGAGGAAACGGAGTCACTGGCCGGTGATGTGCTCCTGTGGTTGGAAGATTTGGCACTGCTGTAGTTGTGATCCTCCTTTGGGTCACCGCTAACAACTGGAGAGCCGCAGGACTGTTCGCTTTCCGTCCGCATCCGGCAGTTTGTTATTCCATTCCTGCAAAAACAAATCCAAGCACTCTTAGAAGCCACAGAGATGTGATCCTGCTTCAAAGCAAAAGATGATAAAGCCAACTGACAGGTAAATTGAAATTACAATCTGAAATGATGACTATCAAAGTAATGTCCATGCAAGCTGGTTTCAAAGCCTTGTGGATTGGACTTAACATACAAAATAACCCAAAGATGCAAAACAGCACAAAAAGCAGGAACAAGTAGGGGATGGTTACAAATAAATGATGTGTAAACAGTATTGATTTAAATTTCAATTAATAGTTTATATTTTCAAAAATTAAAAAGAAAACTCCCCAATATTATTTTATCTACTGGGTAAATAAAATGACAAATTGCATAAATAGCCCCTCATCTTTTGCATATAAAGTGATACTACCAAAAACATGGGGAAGAGACACTAGCTTTCTGGGGCAATTCCTTGCCTGCTCTGAAAGACACTTTCCAGCTCTAATTCCAACCTTGTATTCCATGGTTCACCTCGGAAGTAGCACAACTTCTATTAAGGACTCTTTGCAAGAGAATGAACAACTATGTCCAGTCACAGCTCTGATTCTGATCAGTTAATAAATAACCTTAAATGCAATACAATCTTAAGCCACTAGCTGCCAAGGAAATATTAGAACATGTTCAAAAACAAGCAGTAGAAAAAATAAATCTGGATTTGCTCTGGAAGCTGTCATTTTCTCCTTTGGTTTTATGGCACCCTGTGCAGTAGGAACTACTGCAGCATGATATGTTTAAAAATGAACTGGTTTTTTTTCCTGTAGTGAAAAGTATTAGAGCATTGCCGCTGACTTTAAAAAACAGAATACAATACTTACAATACTATTAAAGAAGGCACTGATTCTGTGCCATGCTTAACTCCTGCTGAAAAGGAGGAGAGCAGGATGCTCCTCATTGAGTAAAGCCATCATCACTGCCACCTGCCAGTTTACCAGCCTTGAACCTCTCTGTCAGTTAAAAAAAATCCAACCAAAAAGCAAGGCTGTTTAAATCCTCACATGATAAACTGATTTAAACTTGCCATCTTTGTGTTACCATTGGAGTGCTTTTGTACACTTGGGGCAGGTGTTGGATGAAAACCCTTTCTTAAATGCACACACTGAACATAGATGTTTCTTAAGAGGAATGGCACAGTGGCAAGTCCAGAGTATTACTGCTCTTCTACTTTTAAAAATGGGAAAGTACTTTAGGTTTCAGGCCATGTTCCTTACACAAGAAACAGCAGAGTATTACCCATTTCTGAAAGGTAAGGTTGAAAGGTGGGTAAAAGAAGAGTGGTATGTAATTCCACAGTTCCTGTTCATCTAAATGGTCTTGTCTGCAAGAGCTCACTGAGATAAGAAAGCCCCTTGCATTTATGAACCAGTGACAGGACAATGCTAGGAGGCAGCAAATTCATCAGTCATTCCACATGTTATTTACAGTGCTTTCAAAGAAATGTATAGAATAGAAGGTACACTTATTAGCAAAGAAAGCCTCTTGCCAACCTCTTTTGCTGAACAAAATTACTTTTGCCTAGCTTTCTGAGTAGATGTATGATCCATAAATTCCATACAGAACCTAGAAGGAATACACAAAGCTCCTTCAATTATTAATAACTAAGTGCAATGTCATTCATGATTGTGCAGCAAGCCAGCTGCATTTACTCTGTGATGGCTTGCAACTGCAGGGGTTGTCATTAGAGGATGCCAAATGCTTAGAATAAGAAATCATCCATACTAAGCTAGTTATAAGGTGAATTTATAACCAACTCCTTAAGATCAGCCATTACAAGGAAGCATGTGATGCATTTTAAGTGACAGATTCTTCATTTTTAGGGTAAATTTACATTTAAAGATGTTAAAAATTATAATAAATTAGCATAAAATTAAACTTACTTGATTTTACAAGGCAGCTAAAAGTCAGAGCAATATGGCTTACTAAAAATCACATGCTACTAATTTTCCATTAAAAAATAACAACCAATTCTTGCTCCAAGGAAACAAATACAGGACAGAATAGGTGAGAACTCAAATGAAATTCCTACTGACTATAAGTGAACAAGGCTTCTAATGGATGTGATTTAAACCAAGATACCCATTTAGATGTACTCTTGTGAGTTTGTACCAAGAGATTGTGAATAAAAGGAAAGCCACTGCTCCATGGAGCAGCACAGCAACCACGTGCCAGAGACATCTCTGATTTACCCTGCTCTGGAGTCTCTAGTGTTGCTTTTACATAAAGGGGCTGTAATTTGGATTCAAAAGCTATGCCCATGGGACTTACTCCAAATCCCAATTCCTCCAAATCAGCATAAAAACAGAATGAAATGCCCAGGGAGTACAGAGCGATGTCCCAGGGGAGGGGGTACTGTGAGGCTGGCATCCCACAGGGAGTGCTGGTAAAGAAAAATACAAGTTTGCAAAGATGTGCAAAAAAAGAATTGCTTTAAAAAAAAGGGGGAGAAAAGAAAATAACAATAACACTTCAGAAGAAAGTAGAACTGGTCAGGAAATGGATAGCATTTGGATCTTAGAAAAATCTTTGGGTTTCACTTACATTTTGAAAGATTTCCATCCAGTTCTGCTTGAGGAAATACAAAAGGAAGAGAAAGCAGGTGAAGGAGAGGATTAGCAAAGGACATTTGCAGAAAAGTAAAAAGTTATACAGGAAGAGTGCTTTAGGATATTCACAACATCAAAAGTCATGTACCCTGAAAGAAATCTGATCTTATCTTAATATGCAATAGCTCAAACATTAGATAAATTACTTATAACTGATATTAGTAGATTAGTAAGAGCTGAATGAACAAATATCTAAACAATTAATATACTACATATGCTTCTGAGACATTCTTAAGCTCTACACTGCTCTTAGACAATCATATATTCACTATGAAATGAATTTGTGATTTATATAGTTCAATCTAGATCATCAGTGGACAGAACTCCCTTGGGTTTCAGGACACAGATTTTGGCCAGCTCCATCTATTTTTGCTCACAGTTCTGGTTGTAACTCTCACTTTGTTTCCCCCCTTTTTTATTCAGAACTTCATTTCAAAATTTCCAGAAACTGACATATTTTCATGTTTTAAAGTAGTGGCTTGCTCTTTCAGGAAAGTTGCTGGGAGAGTCTCCAGAGCTTTTCATCCTACTCACATGGACTACCTTACTTGCTTGAGGGATCTCAGCCTAAAGCAATGTGCACACATTCTTTTTAGAACATTTCCATTTGTTTGTAGCACAATGACACAATCCTCAAGCAGTGCAGATGAAGTCTGGACTTCTTAAAGTCTGACTTCATTCCCATTGTTAATGGATATGAATTCTACTACCAATGTCACCAGGAGCCAGACAGGACTCATGGCAGCTGGGTCTCAAGTTAGAGGAAATAATGTCCTTTGCACAGTGCTAGTGCCTCTGCCTTTCAGAGAGGTCTTCCTCAGGAGGAGACAAAAGTGAGTCTGTCATTTTACCAAGTACAGGCATATCTTCCTTAAATTTCTCTGCTAGCTTGAAAGAAAGATAGGTAATCACATTCTGTTTGCAAAATGGCAAAGGTTTTGCTGAAAAAAACCTTACTGCATTTCACACTGGAGACAGGTATATTCCTTTGATGAACAAAGAAAACCTATGTGGAGTTTAAATATCACCTTAATCTACCTCTGATCCTTCTGGATGACAGATACTGTGTACCCATAGATGACAGTTTTTGGATGTAACTGGAAGCACACAGTCAGAAGACACAATGAAAACAGTAAAGGTAAGCTGGGTTTGTAGATTTTCACACATTCCCGCTTCACAAAAAAAAAAAAAAAAGAAAAAGAAAAATCACTTTTTTATTTCAAAGGGAAATTCAGAACAGTCAGAACTTTTGGCTACAGCTAGTTGAACTGCTTCTTAAAACCACTACAAACCAGCAGACAGAAGGATGAGCAAGTGTATGAAAAATAAGTGGTGCTCACTTGCTCTACAATGAGATTCTGTCAGGGGTTACTGAGTTAAAAGTCAACAGTGAGCTGCTCACAATAGTGACAGAAGCTCTTACAAAGGGCTCACAATAGTGACAGAAGCTCTTACAAAGGTACTTCAGAGAAAAATTGTATGCAAAGGACCACAGTAAATACACTTCATGAACTGCCAGCAGTATCAGCAGCAGATCTGAAATTAAACCAAATGGAGCCCCGTGCATTTTGCAAAGAAAGAATAATCAAGTCAGTCAGCATTGCTGTCCTTTAGTTACTAAAGGATTCCTTTGGCTCCCAAGGATAACTCATCCTGCCTCTTACAGGTGGGGAGGGGAATGCAGTGCATCTGGGATGATCTGGGGTTTGTTAAGCTGATCACACCAGTGGTAAGCACTACAAAGATACAATTAAGAGTTTATGAAAGGAAATACCTACCAATTCCTTTATTTAAGCAAAAATAGTAACTCACAGATAATGTAAGTGAATGATAATAATTCTATTTATGCTTTGGCATCTACTCTGCATATGCAATGTTTGTTTTATTTGATCACTGCTTGAATGGCTGCTTCAAGGGAGGAAAATAGAAGCAAAAATAAAGACAGCATGACAAATAAAGTATAATAAAATATATTTTTATATTTTATTATGTATAATAAATAATAATAAAAGCTATGCCCAAGGAATAATCTAGTAATTGCCCTATAATTTTGAAGTGCAAATAATCCTAAATAACCATTTTCCATCTTCAGATAAGGTTAAGCACAAAACTCGTTCTTGTCATGCCCTAGTGATCAGGAGCTGCATAAGGAACTGTGGCATTAATAGCAAAAGAACAGGCATTTTCAAATCTACTCATGATGAAGTAGGTAAGGTTGCCAAAATTTTGGGGTGCCAAAATGCAACACTTGCAAACCTTACCGACTTTTTGTTGTCTTCCTGCTTGGTTTGGTTTTTTGTTTTTGTTTTTGTTTTGTTTTTGTTGGTTTTGTTTTTTTCTTTAAATTCCTCAAAATCAAGGAAGAGCTGTAGCTCTGCCAGTGCAGGTGCACTTGTTTTCCCTATGAATAAGAAAAATTTTATCTTGGAAACTTGAATGGAAATATTTTTTTTACTGAAGGAAGTTCTTTGGGAAACCTGTTTGCAATTTCCAGGTAACTGTGAAATTCCTTGAGAATGTCTGTGTTTAATCCCAGCCAGCAACTGTGTCACATGCAGCTGCTTGCTCTTCCCTGCTCCAGGTGGAATTGGGAGAAGAATAGGAAAAAGGTAAACATTAGTTGAGACACAAACACTTTAAAATAAAGTAAATAACAACAAAACCAGTAACAGCAATGATGATGAAGGTGATGAAAAGAGAGAGGTAACAAAAAGGGGAATAAAACACAAGAAGGATAAGGGATGCACAACACAATGGTTTCCAACTCAACCCATCCCTCAGGAGTGATCAGCTCCTCCCTGCCAAGTCTCCCAGTTTATGCTCTGTGGTATGGAATATCCCTTTGGCCAGTTCAGGTCACCTGCCCTGCCCCTGCTCCCTTCTTGTGCACCTGCTCACTGGCAGAGCATGGGAAACTGAAAAGTCCTTGACTTGGGACAAGTTCTGCTCAGTAACTAAACCATTAGCATATTATCAACATTGTTCTCCTGCTAAAGCCAACACACAACTCTGCACTGCCTACTAGGAAGAAAATGAACTGCATGCAAGCCAAAACCAGGACAGAGAAGAACTTGGTGAAGAAGGATTGGATAAAATGGGGAAAACCCATGTAATTTCCTATTAATTTTTATTTTTAACCTGCAGTAATTTAAAACCCAAGGTATTTCTAACAAATAGTACCAAAAGTAATCTAACCTATTACCTAGGCATATGTAGCATATAAGTAAGTTTAAAAAAAAAATTACCAAGGATATTTTGTAAAACATCTTCTGCAAAATAGCCTGAACCAAATTGCAAGGCCTATGCTAAACAGCTGCTAAGATTCTCTGTGGGGTGAATTTCCATCAACCTCACCTCAGTGGATCTGTCCACATCAGGCATGTGAGAGGCTTAGGCTCAGTAGTTCTACCGCACAGCAGGACTTGGACACAGTCATAAACCACCCACCCACCCACTATGGATAACGGCAGAAAATTACAGATATCGTGGTGAAATTGATGCTACACAATCTCAAATGTCAGATCAACTTCCAAGCTTGTGCTCTTCCTAAGGGTTGATGTAACAGGTCATACCTGACTCCTGTGGAAGGTGATTACATATGGTAAGAGCTTTGTGCACCTTGCCAAGACATGTGAATGTCATATGCACTGGCCACTTTGACAGACACCATCCCTACCAAAGCAACACAGAAGTCCACCTAGAAAAACATTTAAAAGGTATTTTCCAATGGATGATGATAGGAAGAGCAAGAGCTCACCTTCCCAACTAACTCCTTGCTGTATGTGAGGAACTACTGGCTTTGTCTGCTTTCAGTGAATATCTCTGTCAGTCAATATCTACTACATATCCAGACTGTCACTGCACTTGCTTTTAGATTCTCTGAGGGAACTATATAGGGATATGGTCTGCCAAAAATATCCCCAAAATACGACGGATCTCATGCTAGAGCCATGCTACACGCTGTGCAGCTCTGAAGCGCTATTTTCCCTGCTGTTTTTGGGTGGGTCTTACACTTGTCAGCCACAACATGGAAAATATGGATGGTAAACAAGCTAAAAGTGGTGTGAATAAAGTAAATAAAAAGCTACTGTCAAAACACATCCAATTATGCTCTGCTGTGGAGATTAACACCAGAGGATGATTTTCAAAGTAAAAATAGTGTGGGATGCCTTTCCATTTGTAGATGAGTTTGGAATGAAAGGCCTATTTGTACAATTTAAGCCAAATGCACTACAAAATAATGATGATTGCAACTGTAATTCTTTATTCAGGGAAAGTCATCTTTGTTAAATAAACCCCAGGAGGGTTTTTTAACCCAAAGGACTTAATTCAATTGTACCTTATTTTATATATAAAATATAAAGTAATTATATGTAATTACAAAGGAAGAGCAACACATTGATACCTTCTACAGGAACAAAATATGCCAATGCATTCAGTCACGCTGTCAAAGATGAACAGCACAGTAAACTTTTCTATTCATGGCAGTTAACACATCAGAAATCACAGACTTCAGCTTCTCAGTCCAATGCTATAGTTTTGGCTTCCTTTCTGAACAACAGATTAGTCAAAACACCCACATAACTGCAGATTTAACCCAAGACCAAACTTCTTCTTACTCTGTTTTGGCACTAATGGCACTGCACAACAGGACAACATACAGCAAGCTATTTGTACCAGCTTGGGGGACAACTAAACCAAAGACCATTAAGATATTGAGGAAATGAAACACAAAATGAAATAAACAGCTCAGACAGCAAGGAAGTGCCAAGAGAAGACCAGCATCTTACAGAGGAACCTGTGATTCCTACATATGGTAACTAAAGAAAAACAGATATGAGGTTCAATTTATTATGCAACTGTCTGCACAATAAAGAAAATGCTAATGGTCCCCTATGAGAATGATGAAAACTACCTTCTTCAGGTGGCTTCAGGCCTTTCATTTGCAGCAACAAAGGAACACTTCTCAAAAGAAGACATTTGATTTAAAAAATCTTAGAAAGAAGTTGTCTGACTTCTCAATACATAGGCAGAGGCACACAATTTCAGCAGAAAAATTAACAGGAGACTGCACCACCTACCAAGGCTGCCCAGACCTCCCTCCTGGTAAAAGCTAGTGGGGAAAATCAACCTTCCTGCACCTGAACATGTCTGAAAACATCCCCTGCCAGCCTGACTGGACCATTGTCCTCTGTGCAGGAATGACAGCTCAATCTGAGCAGTCCACCTACTCTTAAATTGCAAAAGGAGGCTGTATGGATGCTGTGGTAAATTCCCCCTGCTGCACATTCTAAGCAGAAGTTATTCTCTGGAGACACCATGAAAGGTGAACATGACAGCTCCTATTTAGTCTGGTGTATCTGAGGAGAGGGGCTGGCACCAAGAAACAGTGTACTTTTCACAGAACTGATAACAGAGGTGTCCAGTTTTGAGAGGACCAGATGATGTTCCAAGAGGCATTGTGAACCCAGACTGATGTTCTTCCCAAAGAAATCCTGAACAGCATTATCCCTGAGGGAAACAAGACAAAACTGCCTGCTGAACTCGCTCCATTGAACAGAGTCCCCTAACTTCTCAAAGGCTTTCAAAGCCTCTTGTCTGTGTCTCCCTCTGCCTTTCAAGAAGTAAAAGAGGGGATATTGCAGGAGATTTTAAATATGAGCAGACATTATGCACACTAGGAATATATTCAGAGCAAGCTATTTCTAATACTGCCTAAGGCTGGAGAAGAGAACAAAAAGAATTAGAAATGTCTGCATTAACTAATGATAAATGCTTTTCTGTGAGACAGAGCAAAAAGAACGTAAGCAAGGGAAGGTAAAATCCCTAATTTCCCATCTCTACATTAACAGGTAGCTGGTAGAGATCCCATTCTCTACTGCTGGGAAAAAAAATCATGAGAAACAGTCCTTTGAAAATGTATAAAATGTAACTAGATACAGCTTTACAGCACAGCAATTTGAGGATGCCTACACAGAAGTTTTCAAGTGGCCTGGAAGTAAAACAGTTCTATTTCCTCCATGAGTCAATCCTGATTATGAAACAGAGTCTAAGCAGGAAATACAGATAAACTCCAGAGATAATACTGAGACCACTATGTCCTCCATTTAGCTTGAAAACCTCATAAAAATTATATATAATTAATGATCCTGTAGTCCTATGGCTCTGCAATCCCCACTGGAGCAGAATACAAGTCCTGGGTGAAGCCAGTGGCAAAGCTGATGAAGAGAGCCGACCCCTGCTGCTAGCAAGGCCAAGCTGTGGTAAAGAGAGATGGAGAGGATCTCTGCAGAATTCTGGAGGATGACCCTTGAGGTTGCATCCCTTCAGTGTAGCAAATGGGAAAAACAGCTGAAGAACTGGCTCATCAAAAATTATGGATTTTATTCCAATTAGTGTCTTCCCCTCTATGCATTTTAAGCATCAAGACCACGTGAATGTCATAGGCTCTCTCTGTCTTTCTCTCCATTTACTGGATGGAAATACTGCACCCAAGGGACTAGACCCTGATTCTGAAAAGGGATAAAAAACAAAAACCCTCATGTAAATAGTGATAGAATTAGGCCTACCTAGATACTTTATTTCAATGCCTTGCAGCCCTTTCCTGAGAAAAGAGAGTGTAATTGCAACAGCACCGTGAAGTGAGGTCAGCACTAATTATGAAACCCCACCCAGAATACCCAACTGCCTGAGCTGAAATAGCTTTTGCAGATACTGAGAGTTCTGAAAGAGGAGGGCACTGGCAGTGCACTTGACAAATTAATCTCTGTTGTGACTGACTGAAAATGGAGCTACACCCGGGGCAAATTGTTCTTCCACCAATAAACCAGCACTGCTTTAAGCAAAACAAACCACTGAACCACAGTTCCTACTGCCATCACTAGATGTCTCTTACTGCCCTGCTTCCTGATAGTTGAGTATCTTAAACAACATTTTACCCTTGAATGTTTCAGTATAACCTTGAAATAAAACCACAGTGAAAGAAACTGCCTCACAAAGATCTAAGTTAATAACAAAATGACAGCTATATGTTCAAATAGCTTTCAGGATTTGCTTTAATATTATTGATACTCTTCTCTCTGGTATTTAATCCAGGAAAAAGTCTTTAAGAAAAGGGAGAGAGGGGAGGAGAAAACATTTGCACTTACTAAAACAGGCCACTACAGGAGGTTCTCACCACAAACTGCCTGCAATTTGCTAGTGAAAATACAAGTGTTTTTCACAAACCACCACGCAACAGACAGATATGCCATGACTATCCTGCTAAGGATGATATTCCAAGAATTTTAGGTGGCAGAATTTTATTTCATTTAGAACCTCAGAAGCATTGGCAAGCAGCAAAATACCCAGAGCTTACATATACTTTTATACTTTTTTAAAATGCTGATTTATTTCATACAGATCCCACAATGATGCACTCTTACCTCACTGCGACAGCCATGCTCCCTATAGGGTTGATTGGCAATGGCCTGGCTCCAGGAAATATTCCTCTACTCAGTACTCGAGCTCCATTTTGTATCACTCCCGAAGGAACTAAAAACAAAACAAAACATACAATTTTTTTTCTTCTAAAGGAAAAGTTAGAAAAGTACAGGAGCAAAATGTGGAACTCAGGCTTTTCAATGTACTGGAAAACCATTAGAGAGGCTCGTGCAGTACACTGCTTACCTTGGACATCTCAGCCTCGAGTCTTCCGAGCCATTCTATTTCCAATGCTATTTTCATGGCAAACAATGATAACATGGCTTGCCAAAGCCACTGCCTGACCTAGTTGCTGCAGATCATTCCTTGTACAAATGAATCACTTTTCTTTTGCAATTGCTGTTCTACTGTGAATGAATGTGCTTAGAGTCAAAACCAGCTATGAGCACAGATGTAACTATTTTGTCTACAAAAAGAAACAATGACCCCTTACAGATAAATTGAACACAAGTATTTCACTGCAAGATCACAGTTGACAGCTTTTTATCATCCCAGTTTACCTTCTGAGCAGCAATATCTTGGGCCCCTATTCCTGCAAAACAAAATATTAACTACAAATATGTATTTAGCAGGAAGAGAAAGAGAAGAGGCTTAGAGGCCATTATGTCCATAGCAGTGATTAGGCCCTGCCCTGGCCATGGGTGACACTGCCATGCAGCCTGGCAGCAGTCCCGTGCCCCCTGCACATGGCCGGGGCACAGCCCGGCCTCCCTCACCCAACACGGGCTGGTGCCGCTGACACAAACTCCCAGGAACTGACCACTACAGACAAGGCATTCCACTGGGCTCTTCAACTTGGCTCTACATCAAAAACTGCAGCTCTGGCCAACAGGATTTTAGATTACACCCGAGTACTTGCTCTCTACCCAGGCACGTTTCTGTACACTGCTGAGCCCAGGGCAGACAGCTGAACAAGGAGCAGAGGAGCACCAGTCAGGCACCACCATTGCAAGAGTGTCCTTAGCAAGTCCCAGGGTTTTCCTCCTCCACTGAGAGATGCAAGACTCCCAAGCAGAGTTCTTGCTCTAGGCCCTCACCAGGGCCCTACCTGCATGTACTGGCATTTGTTGGCACTGCTGTTACGTCCCTTCAGGCTGGGACAGTCACCTCACCTCAGCCCCCACCCAAACTCGCTTCTGTAACATCCACAGGCAGCCAGCTGACACACATTCTATTTACTAGAAGTCATCACTCACACCATAACTTCCCCCCATGGGGAATGTCCAAAAAGAGAATGATGATCATTACTCTTCTTATATTATTTTTAAATACATGGATATTATATAAACACTTGTAAGATAAATGTAAACTGTATTACTTTATATACACCCACAGAATTTATTTTTAAACAAATTACACGGAGACTAGAGAAATTATTCAGAATCAACACATACATTTGACATGCCCAACTTCAAATACTCACACCCCAAAATACTAGTGTATTCTGAGGCAGAGGAGCATATGCTCAGAAGTATGCTAGTGCTAAGCTGCTGAGGTACATTTCAACTTCCCATAAACATCAAGCCAGATCGACAACTCCTGCTGTCCTGGTGCTCACCTTGTTTCACTCCAGACCACACAGATTAGTTCTGGGAAAATAATCTTCTTTCTCCTGCTTGTGAGAGCACATCACTCTCCCGATCAAATCCTGTCACTGTGTAACACCCACTCTTGCTTTTGAGCACCTTTGAAGAACAGGTCAGTTATATTTAGGTACTTAAGTACAACCTCAAATGGCTAAAATTATAGAACTTAGTTTATAACAGCTTGGGTCAGCTTTCAATGACCAGAATAATTTTAAATAGCATTTTGCTATTTATACCTCCCTACTCTGTATACTTTTCCCTTCACTGCTAGTTTATGAGGAATCCATCAAACCTCTTTCACACAGGGGACAATGTAAGGCTTTCTCTGCTCCAATGTTCTGGTTTTTAGATACTGTAGAGCAGTATTATCATGTTAAAATTCAAAAGGCTGAATTTCTTATTATATTTGTTCCAACAGCGTAACCTTGCGATGGTCGAAACACCAGTATCATGAAAGAAAAGCAGACTGCTCAAAGACATGGCCAGCCTAAAACATGAAGGCAACAGGTGAATTCAAAGCCATAGATAAATGTGCTGAACACTGAAAGATCAATAAAAAGACATAATTTCAAATGGACATGGTTATTCCAACAAACTTTTAAGAAGGACAGATTTTATACTGCACTACATGGTATGGTTTCTCTATGTTTATAAAGTCCCATCAAAAGAAAGGAACCGGAAGTTTTGACTGAGAAAGATCTGGGAATTTTCTCTTCGCTATGATATAAACCATAGTTTTATACTGAAATGAAACATTTATGCATATGCACAGAATGTCAGTTAGCTATGGATACTGTCTAAATATACACTGTAAAACTTCAAAGCAAACATACCGAAAGAGCTACTACAAAAAGAGAGCAACGGGCTCCTTGATGCCCAAACTCTTCTTTGCCCAGATTACCTAATTATCCTGGTTGCTGGTAGAGTTAACTGATGCTTATTCTATGATTTTTCTTCTCCTCTATCCTTTATTGACAACTCCCATTGCTTCTTTAGAACATCCTGTTTGCTTCCTCACAATTTTCAAAAATTATCTTCCTGTCTTTCCTTCTTTATCTCTTTTGAGTTTCCTTTTCCTCCTGCACTCCTATGTATGTATCTATACCTATATCTATATCAAATACACTGCCAAGTCTCACAACCTCAGATTTCTATACCTTGACACCCTCACTGGAATCCATCTTTCATTTTCCTTGACCCTTTGCAGGTTTTTAAGTCATGGAGAGTGATCCAGGAAACAGTCTCTTCAAAAGCTTCATATTTAAAACATTCTCTCATCAACACACACACACACACACACACACACACACACACACACACACACACTCACACACACTCTCTTTTCTCTCTCTCCCCCCCCCATATTCCCTTCAAGAAGTAACAAATGAACAAATGTTTGTAAAAAAAAAAAAAACAAAACACAGAAGTTTGCTGTCTTATGAAAATATCTCCTAAGAGACAACTTGGTCTCTTGTCCTCCTATGAAATTCTCTTCAATCATGGCCAGTCTGTGCCTCATGCCACCACTCACTGAAAGGCTCCAATAAGACTATTCAGTCCAGAAGAGGTCTTAACCATGATTCTGTGATTCTAACTTTTCTCTGAAGTACATCACAGCTCTGGATAATGAAATCATCACTCAGAATTCAATAACTATTTCAGCTTACAACAGCAGTGTTATTGCTACTGATTTTTGGGTTTGTTTCTTCAGACTCTCTGAATTATGATTCAGCACAACCACTACATCACTCAGACAAACAGAAATGTTGTATGCAAGGGATCACTGGAGAAGGACACTGGACTATGTAGTGTATCCTTTCAGGAAATATATGCAACCATAAACAAAAAACCCACAACATCTCAACTTTCTGGTTAATCAGCTTCTGTAGCACTCTAAACCTAAACTGAAAAGCAGGATTAAAATATTTAACTAGTAAAAGGTATTAATTTCTAGCTATCCACAGTACCAATGTGCCACCATAAGATTGATCTTTCTTGCTCATTCATCTCTACTTACAACATTTAAAGCATCAAAACTGATCCTTGCAAAAAATAACATTAATTATTTAATTTTAAAAAGATTATGGATAAACTGCTATTACACTGTCTCTGGTACCCACAGAGTCTTCCAGCCTTCGTGCAGGCTGTATGACAGCTACTTATATTCAAGGAATTATTCCTACATCTTGGTGCTTTTGAAGGATTGTGGATTATTTACTGAAATTATGTGGTACTTTTATTCCAAAGATACATTTACGTCTTACAAGCTTTAATTACGTTTCAAACCCATACTTTGAGGTGAGATATTTATATTTTAGAGATTGAAGATTCAAGGTGTGGAGGTAAGATAATTTACTCCAAGCCATATCATCAATCAGTGCCAATCTGGATGAACACCTTACAGTCCTGACCCCTCCCTTGTAATGCTTCTTTAACCAACAGCACAGGCAGGTTCCAGGTTCCCAATTCCTAGGCAGAAGTGTGAAATGTAATTTACACCTTTTCTCAGCAAGTGCCCAAAGCCGTTTATATCTGAGAAACTCAGCTCAAGAAAACAATGCAAGAAGACCTGTGCATCTCTTTGATGAAGGTTTCCTTTTTCACAAAATGTTCCCAGTGAAACACAAAGAGTCTGAAATGACAAAATCATTATTCAGCTTTCATCACTGCTATGTTTTCAAGGGTCTACTCTGCTCTCAGGAAACTTAAGACCCGGAAACACTTTCACTGGAGTAGAGTCAAAGTGTGTACTGAAAATCTACCCCTCATCTGCTGCATGAATGGGGAAATTATTTTTGGATCTTATGCTGCTCTGCCGGAATTTCACAACCTGAGTAGACTCAGCCAGCTGAGTCTCCAATGGCTAACTCTGGAGTGAAGCAATGCATCCAATGTCAAAAATCAAGACTACACCTCTGAAATTCTCCAAGGGGAAAAAAAATCTCCCTTTTGTAGAGAACTTTCATGCTATAGTTTAACAGACAATAAAGTGAATGACATGTGGGAGAACATACCATAATCTGAACCCATCAAGGCACTATGTTCACAGTGTTAAAAGGATCCAGCAGAAGCCCTTCAAAAATCCAGTGTTGTTTTGTGGCCTGTACTCAGGGTCTGTAGGTGGAAAGTAAGTAGAGGGCTACATGATCACTCCACAGCCAGTGCAGGACTACTTTAATCCAGAGCATGCTCTTGTGTGCACATTAGCTGAGTAGATTAGTCCAACTATGGACTTCTTTTGTCACATCTCTCAACAGACTGCATCCCTGATCTCTAACTTGCAGGGGTGTGCAGGTGAAGCAAGCCCAGTTCTGGCTGAGATAACCACCTCATCTGAGATCTTCACAGCAGTGTCAGAAAAACCATGTCAGACTGAGTCCTTCCCTGAAGATCTGATTGTCAAACAAACAATGCAGCAATTTGGTAAAATTGAAATGCAAAAGGAGGAGGAAGTAATGGATAGTCCCCAGACACACTGACACCCCAAAAGCTCACTAGAAAAGGAAACTAACTTCTTGGGTAAATATTGGCACATGGAAGTTAAATGACGCATAGGCAAGGAGTGAGACTTGTCAATCAAGACAATGAACTGGTAAAAAAACCTGTTCTTTGTGTGATTTAGGAAACAAACATACACTTCATCAAACTGTCTAGCTCAAGGTAGCCAACACTTAGCAAGGAAGAATGAATAGTATTTACTGAGAAATGAATTTTAAAGAAGTGGAATGTGCGAGTGTATCCTGTAGGGACAGACTGGTTCTTTGCCTCTTCTGTCATCATACAGCACATGCATTGATCTCAGGGCACTCTGCCCTGACCCAGCTTCTGTAGCATAGAAGAAATCACTACAGACAAGAGGTACTGAGTTTTGGCTAATATCTGTCAGCTTCAGCTCTTTTCTGACAAGCTTTCTTTCAGCGCAGTGTTTAGTAGAATTCTTTAGATCAGGCTACAAGAACTGAAAGTAGGAAATTGCTGATGATCTATAGTGGATGGGACATCAGAAGTTGCCAAAAGCAAATGTTTTCTGCCAGATGTGTAACTTTATTCAGCTATCTTATCCCAGGCACAAATTTGATGACATCTGCCCAACTTGTATTTTACAGCTCAAGGACAATTTCATAGCTTTTAAATTCTGTACTCTGTAGTCCTTACAAACTGTGAATCTAGGATGCATCCAACAAGACATTTATTCTAAACAAAAATTGAGATTTTTGTTTAGGGAGATCCTGATAATCCTATCACACTTGTACTTTTTCTAAAAATATTATGAGGAGTATGGAGAAAGAAGTAGAAAGTACTTGATAAAAGTAAGCTTTCTTTCCAAATTTATTTCATCCCTTTAATGGCTTAATAATAAACACCAAAGTAAAACAAACCAAAACAAAATCCCAACCAAAATCTAGCAACAGAAAGTTTGAACATTATGAAAATGTATTTTCCTAGTTTTTGCTTTAATACAAAATTGTCAGTAAAAATAGTTTTACAAAACATTTTACTCTCAATGATTTATCATTTTCTGGTACTCAAAGTTATGCTGGAAGCTGTCTCAGTTATACTAAGTGACTTGTCCATAAGCAGTAGAAATAGAACATTACATCTATCAAGTTTCATGTACAATAAAAATGTCCAAAAAAACCAGCACGTTCTATTTTATCCTATTTGGAGATTTTCCACTGTCATTAAGGCAATTTTTTTGGTCTTCATCCCTGTATATGTATCTTGCTTGTATACAATCCACTTGCATTACTTTAAAAAGCAAATTTCATTGGGGTACAATGTTCGAAGTATAGAGGTAAAGTAGATCTCTAAGGAATTACTTGTCCCCCCACCAAACTTACAATATACGTATCTAGTCTGGGTTTTATGTTTTGAGAGGAAGATTAATAAAGACTTCCAAATCAGAGAGACACTGGTTTAAACCATAGAAAACCTATTTTAAAAATATCTTTACCACAGCACTTCAGTCTCCTATAAGGAACCACTCACAAAACCAGTGTTGCTAAGTTTTCTGAAGGCCACCAGTTTCTAGCCAACCCAACCGAGCAGTGATGAGAGTACTGAAACCAGAAGGTGGATGTCAGAGCTGGGAAGACTCTCAGTTTCCTGGTTTCCACCCAAATCCTTTCTGTGAGCACTGTTTAATAGCTGTTTGCAGCATTAAACTTTAGATTGAGCAATGTACTTGCATTTGTGTGCAATTCACAAATTATATAGCAACGGGCAAAGGACTGTGCATGAACTTGGAGCTATGTGTAACAGCACTGAGAAGCTTCTTGGATTAAATCACTATATCCAATCCCTCTGACCACAGCACTGTTCACTAGCAGCAGCAGCCATACACTAACACTGCCCCTTTCTTTACTCATCCCTCCAGAAAAGCAAGTGGCTCAAAGTCCAAAATGACCTCACCAATTAAGAAGGTGTTGCTACCTACATGCTTCCAGTGACTTGAATCTCCAGAATTCCAACACACTGCAAAAGCACCAAAACCTATCTCCCCTTTTAATCGTGGCAAAACATCATGGTTTGGCAAGACTCAATGACATGCCCAGGATGCCACACTCTTAGAATGACAGCTAGCAATATTCACTTCCAAGATGTTGGTATGCTGAAAATCTTTTGTACAAAAAAGCAACTGTACAAAACTAACTCAGGGCCTTCACTGATTTAGTACCCATGAGTTCTAAAGTTCACTGGTTTAGTACCCATGAGTTCTAAATGGAGCTCTACCATTTGTTCACCATCCTGTTTTCTTCTGTCCTCTCTCCAAATCAGATTCACAAGAAGGAAACAGGCCCATAAATTTGATGCAACTTGCCCAAGATGGCCCAGACAGTACTCAGTGCGTTGCAGGTCAAGATACAGTTTTCAGTGCAAGTCAAATATTTTGGAATTAATATTAATGAACTAATAAAAATCCTAAGTATTTGTAACTTGTGGTAGCTGCTTCTAAAGGAAGCAAGTGTTTTAATTGCTGTTTCTTTTCAAACACAAACCTACAAAACCTGATGAAACACGACTTCAATAAACTGAAGCAAAAAGTATTAAATCTATGTTCCTACATGCCCTCTCTTAGCATATCACAGTATCTTTCATGCTTTAACTCCTGGTGCCAGCTGGATTGCAGGTTTCAGTAGAAACTTGCACACAGCTGGCTATTTTGAACTTCTGCCTTTATTTGGTCTGTGAATATACTGCAAGCTGTTAATAATTGAGAAACTGATTTCTGACATTAACACTCTAACTATAATTGCATACTAACCTTTAGTAGCAATGTGAACAATCAGTTTTATAAGTCTATACAGTAAAACCTACACAAACACAAAATAATCCTAATAACAGTATTTTACTCTTTTACTATGCCTTATGTTTTTCTGAATGAAAACTAAGGGATGGTGGAATTGGAGTAAATAGTAACCAATGTTTGTCACATACCATTTCAAGATTTCATATAAAAGCAGAAGCTGATTTTAGAATTCATTTGTGATTGTTAGCAGTGTTTCACACATAGGTGTGGAATTTTAAATGGTCATTTTAAACCATAAAGCTAATTAATCAGTTACAAAGTGTAACCTCCTCTTCCCAACAAAATCTTTCCTTTTTCCTTCCTACACACAGCAGGTATTGCTTGCCCTTTTACCATGCACAGTTCCTGAAAGCTGCTTAGGAGAGGAGGACAAGGACCACTCTTCTCTTTCCAGAGCAGTTTCTTGGTACATCCTGCTCTCCTGAGAGCAGCTTCTCAAGAAGCATTCCTCTGGCAGGGTCACAAAGCAGCCTGACAATAGCCTTCCTCAGCTGCATGGGAAATGCTTTGATGGTAATTGACTCTGTTCCCCAGGCAGAGTATCAAAGTGCAAATCAAGGCTTCCCCAGGAATCTGGAGTTGGTTGCCCAGGCTAGAACAATAGCAGTGATGCTAGACAGTCTTGGTAATGGTTTCTATTTTAATTTCTGCCTTTATTTTTTAGAGCTGTCTGTCGCTTGGCATTACTACCACACTTGCTGACTAGTGATAGGTTTGTTTTCTTGTATTCTCTGTTTTTGTGCAGCTGTATTTCACTATGGATTCCTGTAATACCTTCACTGCAAGCTCTGTGGGGCAGGATGGTTCCTGCAATATTTGCTCAGCCCAGTCCAGTGGGGGTCCAGGCTCTGTTAATGCACAGCATTAAAACCTCAGGTCTGGTCACAGAACAGGGAGGGGAGTATTGGCAGGAAGTGAGACCTCTCTTTGCTCCTTGTCACCTGCTTACTGCCTTGCATCAGTCAGAGAAAAAATCCCAAAACAGGCAGGATGTGTGCAAGGAAGGAGCTGAAACAGTGCCCAAGTGAATGGAAAGTATCCAGATGGCTGTGGTAACTTACACGATAGGAGTCAAATCAAAACAAAATGAAAACAGAACCATATGCCATGTATCCTTCACTCTCTTGCTCTTTCTCTCTCTCCCTGCCTTTCTCCTGGCTGTTGCCCCAGGTCTTTCTATCACTATGGATAATAGTATGTTACTCATTTAAGTGTATGTCATGAATAACAATAACCTCTCTTTTACATAAGAGATCACGGATGAATATTATTCATGTAACAAATGTAATATGAACCACAAAATTATACTCATGTAAGGGTCAAGGAAGTGCAAGGGTCTACAAGGGAAGTTATATTTCTTTATTACATCCTTTTTATCTGGTATGCTGTATACTTATAAAAGAGAATATTAATTTTATACGTCTATGTTGCTATATGCTATAGAAATATCTACTCACAACCTGCTTGTATCTCAGGGGGAGTATTCAAAAGCATCATGGCAGTGGCAGCATCAATGTCAGGATCTGGAAAAATCAACCAATAAATACATTATTTACAACTGGGCTAATCTTCTTACCCCCATTGCTAAACTACAGGTATGACCATGTCTCTGAGTGAAAAGGTAGGAGAGTTCAGCACTCAGAGGGCTCATTGGCTACACATTAAATTTATCCCCAAACTTGCATGTGATCCCCTTGTTACTATTAAACAAAGTGGTGATCTATGTCACTGAGCCATACTTATGCTTGTGTGTGCCTGATACCTTTGCTGTTAGCCTCACCAATTCCCTGTTTAATTCTGTGGAGAGTATTTAGATTTCATTACAAAGGATCTGAGAAAGCAGGAGCAACATCACAATTTGGAAGCCACAGAGAGGGATGAGCTGACAGCTGAGAAGTGGGAAAGCACAAGGAATACCTGAGCAAGTACAAAAGATGACACTTGGTCATTTCTATTTGTCAAAAAAGGTTTCAGCAAAGTTTGAGAAAGTGTTGGAAGACAAACTGCTGCAATTAAGAAAAAAAAAAGAAACTAGCATTTCATTGAAGCATCAATTTATTTGCATTCTTGTCCACTGTCACTTTAATATAAGCAAAAATAATCAGCTGGCTGCTGTTATTCTTAAATTGGTTTCTGAATCCATCATGAAAAGTCAGCTGACAGATGGTAAGTTATAGAGACAGAACAAAATATGATCCTTTTATAACTATATTCACTTGCTTCACACACAACAGCTCGGCTGCTATGGAAATGCAGGTATCTATGACAACAGTAAACAACCCCACAACGGCCACTGAATAAGCTGAAAAGAACATCTGCCCCAGCAAAGCGTCCCAGCTGCCCTGGGGCACAACTTGCTAATCGTGCAGTGATGCCGTGTGACAGAGAAAGCCGCCTATGCCATGTCCAAATAAATGAAGTGTGCAATTGAAGCAGACATAAAAACGCACACCCTAGCTGACTGCTGCCTCTGTGTGCTAAACTGAATGACTAATGAGTATGCATTTGTTGGATGGGGTTGGGGGTTTCTTCAGCTTGTCAGTATTTATACCAAATTACATTAAAAAAAAATTAATTTAGTACTAATAGCTTCATAGCACTTTCTTTCAGCTATTATGACAGAAAATTACTTACCACTGTTAAAAATATCTGTATTTTTGATCTTTATATATTTCAAATCTATTCCCAGTAATGTGATGTGGTATAAAGCTCTGTAATATATTAACAATACAAATGACGTAGACAGGATTTCAAAATCTGATTAAGCCAAACAGAAATTCATTTGACTGCAGAATTTAAAAAAGGGACTTTTTATTTGTTTAAGTATGTACTACTTTTCTGTGAATAGCTGCAAGCACTCTTCTAAAGGCGACTGCTTTATTATTTAATTGCTAAAACACTAAACAAGGAAACAGTGTAGTGGGTGTCAAACTGAAGCTGAAGCAGCAGCAGCAGACAGCATAAAAAAGTGCCTGTGCCTTCTGGACAGGTCAACATTTTCCAAAGAAAAAGCAGCATTATCAGCTTATGTTCAAGTCTGAAGATACCTCAAAAGCAGAATTCCTGCTGCAATTATCTGTGCTGAAAGTGCCATTTCCCAGCAGCATCATTCCCAAATATGTGCCATGTTGCAAGACTGGATCCACACATCACACAGCAAGTGTATGCTTTCCAATTAAAGAGGAATAATCCATCTAATGTTAAAAAGCAAGACAAAAGAAGCCTGAGAAAGACAAACCAAATTCACCAGAATTCTTCCCTCTTTTTCATACCATAAAATTAAGAGATTCTTAAAAGTTGAATTTAGCATATCATAATTCCTACAGCCAACTTCAGCATTTATTTATTGGCTGTTCCTAAATTTTGCTTTGTTTTAGTTCAGTGGATGACACTGTAACATAATGCGAATTTTGTTGCTGAAAGAATAAGAGGACACTACCAGGAAAAGGACATTTCCTGATGACTTTGGGCTTTGTTTGTGTAATAAACTCTGTGATCTGAGATAAAATTGATGCAACCAGTTTCTGTTGAAAGGGGCATTCTTAGCCTTTGGACCACTAACGGCACCACAGTGTTTCTGCAATGACGTGAGACATGAACATGAGCTGCTCACCACAAGGACTGCATCTGCAGCAGCTGTCTCCCCCAGCACAGCCATGTCTCAAAGCCCATCCACATCTGCTATCAGCTGTCTCCCAAGGCATAGCCATGTCTCAAGCCCATCCACACCTGCTATGTTTCTGCTGGTATATTCTTGAAGAAACTAGACAGCTAATCCATAATGCCTTAGCAGAGGTAAGAGAGCTCAGAGGCATGCATGAATGGTGGTGTCAGTAGCATCCAGGAAAATGTGCTTTTGGTATTCCTAGTGCAAGGAAGAAAGAAAAAGGAGGGACTGGTGCACAAGTGAGACAAGGGCCGAGGGCCAGCTGTCTGAGCCTGCAAAAAGAGGCAGATTGAAAAGCTGGTACATTCTTTTGCACCATTTTTGTCCACAATCTGGAGGCGTTCTCATGAGCAGTGTGTCAAGAAGAGCCAAGAAGTAGCCATGAGGAGCAGCACCAAAGGCATGGGACTGAAAGGCACCTTTGCTGAGACTGGCACTTCTGGCTTTGCTGCTGGTCCCCACCAGTGCCCCCATGCTGATGGCCCCTTCCCCATTGAAGTCTCTTCCACGTGGATGCTCCCATTTGTAGCTGACCTTGCTTACTGCTGCATCCCCACCAGCTGGTAACTGGATCCTGTCCCTTCTACCTGGCCTGTGTTCGTGCAGCCATGGATTTCAGAACTGAGATCTCTGCCCTGCCTGAAGTCTGTGATCAACACAAAGGCTCCTGAAGTTATTAACAGTGGGTGGTTAGTGAAACATGATTGCAGGAACATCTTTCCCTAGGAAACCAGGTTAAAAATAACTACATATAAAGTTTTGGAATATAAAAAATTAAGTATTTAAATGAATGCATTCTGGCTTCTGTTTTTGCTAATTCAAGTAAATGGTGAACTGACTGCATACATGAACTGTTAATTTTTGGTCAGTGGAAAGCAGATGTCCAGCCTTCCCTGTGAAGGAGGGAAGTAAAAAGCAAGGAAGAAAAGGAAGGATTGCGGGTGTTGTACAAAGAAGTAAGACTGTGTCAAAGTCTCAAACAGGCAACACTGGAGAGTGTTAAGAAAATAATGACAAAAATGGCCAGCAGCCACAGTTCTCCCTAACAAACAACTGCAGTCCAGCTGTACGTTTGGTATTTCATGCTGCAGTCTGAAGTTTCAGTGCTTGGTCCCTCACGCACCAAGGATCCATCACAAGGTACCAGAAAGGACCTGGAAGAAGCCTTAAGCACTTAGAAGATCTTGTAAGGCATGAAAGGCATCAAGGAGCTGGATTTCTACTACAGCTGCAGTACCTCCCCTTGCACTGCTCTGGCCAGCATTGCTCTTAAACACAACACTTGTTTTCACAAAGATGATACCAGTGGTGCTATGAACCTCATGGCAGTTCTGTTTGCTGCAGTTTAGATTCATGTCCCTTGTCAGCAGAGTCTTCAACAGTGAACACCAAATCTCTAAACAGCACCTAGTTCTTTCAGTGAAAAAATAACCTACAGTATCACTCTGGAATTACATCTTCTACAATATTGTCATGATGTACTTGGAGCCAAACTTTGCTTTGCATGTTACCTGTACAGATCAGAATCTGTCTTGCACAGACATGTGAAGTGGCAAAATGGTAGGCATGAAATATTTAGCATGAGATTACATACAAGCAATGCAGAGGGTAGCCCTCAGGTAGCAGACTCTTTATTCTAGAATTCACAAAAAATAATTAAAATCAGTCATGTACCTGAGAAAGCCAGATGTGACAGCTGTTCTTTTTTATGTTGTGATTTCTGATCAGAGTTCATTTTATAGAGAGAGAAAGTGATTTACAGTAATTCGTATTATTTTGATACTATTTTAAACTTTGATCAAACCCTTCAAATCCATCCCCTTCCAATTAAATAAAAATTAGGGTAACATAGTGCCTTTTTGGCTGTGCAAAGGGAAATTTATCTTTACAGCCATACCATAAGGTTTTAAAGAAAATAGCAGCTAAAGCAGTTCAAAGCAACCATGGCCTGAATTTTCCAGCACAGATGCCTAGAGAGAGGCACTTAAGATGCATATTTAGGTATTAAGAAAATGTTACAGCCAACTGACGTAAAAAATGTAGTTAGTAAATAAACTGCACCATCTGCACACTACAACCATTGCTGTGGTATCTCATCAGGAAGGAATTTATAAGATCTTCTTTTAATTTAAAGTTACTACATCTAAAATAGAACTATTTTTGTGAAGTACTTCACTTTACCATTCAGTATGCTAGTTTTTGGCCCATTCTACTTCTGCCTCAGCATCCTCCACTACTTTTTCCCATTTATATGTTCCCAGTGTAGATGGAATGCCTAACACCTAGTGCCAATGTATTTAAAAGGCAGAAGTTCAGATTATTCCTTGTCTACAAATCAGTCTTTTAACCCCTTTCCTGCCTCACTTTCTAGCACAGCCCATTCCTACACTTTTTTTTTGTTATTTGATTCTTTGATATTTTCAATTTTCATCAGTAGTAAAATGGTGCAAAAGCAACACTGTCTTCCATCTTTACCTTCAGGCTTAATTAACTGCCACGGAGCAAAGAGCAGCTTGCCCCTGTTTAACTTCTCTGTTAACAGATGTGCCTTTTCCCTTCCCATATCATGATAGTTAACCTTGGTATAAGTCAGGTCAAAACCACAGAGAATAATGAACAGAATGAAGTATTTTTCCCCCATTTGCTTTTTTTTCCTTTCTATTTTTAATTTATTTTGCCTAATGACGGAATAAGAATATAACTGTTAAAATAAAGTTGCAATGTGCAAGACAGAAAGAAATACCTGAAGAGAATTGTAAGTACTGTAACTCTGTCAAACTCCTTCATGTGGGATGCCACTGAGTCCACTTCTGAAATATTTAAATAAGGTTGAGAAGTTCTCTTAAAATAAACAGA